TTATTCGTGGCATATAAATACACTTTGTGTTTCCATACCACAATGAAGGATTCTCTCTCAACCTAGATTCTTGTGGGAGGGCCTAGGCCCTGCCCTGGATGAAATGACACACTCTGGAGATCCACCTTGGAGGGCCTCAACCTCCCTGTGAATCAGAGGGGATATTGAGTTGGGGCCTGGGAGGTCTAGTAGGGTGGGTGGGGAAGGATGGGTGGGAGAGGGATCTGGGATTGACAGGTGAAGCAAGCTTGTTTCTAACTTCAAAAATAAAATAAAATTCAGGATAATAAAACCACAAATAATTTGTTGAACGCTGTCTAATCATTACTTATATTCAATAAACTTCCAATAGCATCAATAATTTTTTACAAAAGCTGACATTGTTAAAATTCTACTTCATCATTCATAGTTGAGGTGCCAATCTCAATTCTTCAAATACATATGTATAAATGTCATATAATATTATTTTGTACAGTAACATCAAACACTTTTTAAAGAAAGTACAAAATAAACTGCCAGATTCTACATTAGGAAGATACCCTACCCTCAGGATGATTGATCAGATATCAATAAACATTTCAGGAGTAGAGAAGTGCTTATGCTTCTTTTCTTTTAATCTACCTTTTATTTTTTAGTGCAGATTTCACTATGTTTATTCATTCCACATTTGTTAATAACTTTAAGTATAGAATGCTTAAGTTTTCTTTCAAAACTTAATTGTCTTTTATTAATGCTGTCAATAACATTCTATTTTTAGCGAAAGCAATATACTAGAAATATAGATAACAGCAATATAACCATTATTCTATGAATCACCTAAAGTACTAATATTAAAATTAAAATTTCCAAATTCTATCCTCCAATAAAATAACTGTCTGATGGTTGGACTGAAAACATGATTCTCTTCAATTATCAACAAACAATGAAAATGTTTTGAGATATACAGGAATATACAGCTATCCTAGCAGTCATTAATTTGCAAGGAGAGATTCACAACTATTTCTTACTGTTTTATGCTTGCTATACATGCATAAACTTATCTATGATACTTTTATACATGGATAATATTGTTAGTATTCATCCTCAGTTATCCTGTCATATATACCCTGAATGCAACCACATTCTCCTTTTGCTAACTTAAATTTCTCCCTTTGCTAACTTAAATGACATTCTGAATCAAATATATATATATTTCCTGATATCTTGGACTTGCTTTGGGTGTGGGTGCCACATCTAAATAAAAAGGATGGTTTTAAATTTAACATTGTAAAATTATATATAGCAAAACAGTTATCAAGCAAGAATCATAGTTACAGTATTTAGTCCATTTGTATTTGACAAAATCTAAAGAAAATATTCTATCACCTATCCTATTTTTGTTAGTCTAAGAATTTTTATGTAACTTATTTTTGTTATAATTATGGAAAAGCCTAAACATAACTATCTGTTTTCAACTCCATCAAAGACCCAGAAGGATAATATATAAACTGAAGAATTGACAGAGATATCTCATGGCCTTGGCAGCTTTGCAAAGTTCCTCTGTAACATTGGGGCATCACTCTTTAGGATATAGGCCCAGAATATCTGGCAGACATTTTCATGAGGCTGGAAACTTAGAGGACAATCCTTTCCCTTGGCAACTCAGCAGTCACAAGTCTTTTTTATTTAAATTAGAAAGAAGCTTGCTTCACTAGTCAATTCCAGCTCCCTCTCTCTCCACTCCTCACACACTTCCCAACAATCTACCCAACACCCCCATTCTATTCCCCACTCTGCTCCCCAGGGATGGTGAGGCCCTCCATGGGGGATCTCCAAAGCCTGTCATATCATCCAGAGCAGGGCCTAGGCCCTACCCCACATGTTCAGGCTGAGAGAGCATCCCTCCCGAGGCCCCATAGATTGCCGAGGCCTACTCACTGACACCCACCTTCAGGGGTGTATATCTGGATGGTCTTGGACTCACGGAGATTCGTCTAGCTCTAAATCCTGAGTCCTAGGATTAAATTTATGTGCCACTACTTCTTAACTTGGTGCCCCTGGGATTAAAAATGTGTATCACCAGTGCCTGATATCTAGAACTCGAGGCTAAATTGGCTTTATGAATAATCAGGAAAGTTTTAAGAAGTCATAATAGGGTATGCAGATGTACAGTAAATATTGAAGCTAATGTCCCTGTGGATGGTGATACATGGATAGGAGTGGTGAGGTTAAGAGGTATAATGAAAAACTGAAATGTCAAATGTTTTCATTTTAGCAGACAAGGTCACCTGTAAAGGAATATAAATAGGTCATTTCTAGAAGCAAATGTTTTATAAGAATGATCCAAAGGGAATACCCCTCTGTTTTGAATTATGCATAAGGTGAAGCAAAGACCGGCATTGGAATAGGAATGTAGAGCAAGAAGAGATTATCAAGATAATCCTTTGTCTTAGAGAAATGCCTTGTTGGACCTCTCAAAAGCCCCTATGACAAATTCAGAGGAATCCTTGCCTGTCATTGTGTATGAAAATCCTTCCCAGAACAATTAAATAACCTAATGCCTTTTGAAGAAACATGCTGTTTTGTATGATAGAAGAGCTTTAGAAGATAAAAAAAATTCAGGAAAAGCCATAAATCAAAAATGATAAAGATTATGTTAGGAAACTCCACGGAGTTAGGGTGGGGGAAGGGATTTGTTTTGCTCTTTTCAAGAAAAAAAATCAAACATCTTGAAGATTTTAAGACCTTTGCAAAAATGAGCATCCAAATAAGAAGTGAGAATTACCCAGAAAAATTACAAAGGAAAGAAATAATCTGACAAAAGGAGGCTTCAGAAGTCCTCAAAAAGAAGACTGAATCAAAGCTGGGTGAAGGATATACAAGACTTTAATCCCACTACTTGAGGCAGAGGTAGTCAGATTTCAATGATTTCAGGCAGCGTAATTACAAAGTGAGTTTCAAGACAGTTAGGATTATTAAAACAGAGAAAACCTGTCCAGGAAAACAAATCAATATAAGCAAACGGACAAAATATAAGGAGCATTACAACAATTTCACCAGGAATATGATAAAACCATTAAGCTGAACAATAACCACTAAAAGTTGACTTTGGACTGCAAAGTGCTCAGAAAAATTTGAGGTGTCTAGCAGAGATGATCCAGCCTCAGAGACACCTATAAGAATGATTACAAGGAATCTAGCTGAGATGATCCAGCCTCAAAGATTACTCTAGCTAGGACTTGAGAAAAGCCCTGCACTTTCCCATTAGGAGAGACTAGAAAAAAATATTAGAGTTTGACAGTTAATCCAAAATTTTTATTTTCAGGATCCCATTAAGAAGCAGTCACCCCAGCCAGCAGGAAGTAAATTTAAGAACATGATGCCCACATTTCAAAAAGGTATGATGGGAGGATTTTAGTCATTAGATGGCTTATGGATATTTGTTATTGTTTAGTGAGTTTGGTTGCAAAATGTTGTTGTTACAGTAGGGAAAATGTTGAACAAAGGGGATCAGATACAAGCTTTATGTTTTGGAAAAAAAGGATACAGTTATGATAAGATAAAATGGTAGATTATTGAATCTACTCTTGAAAAGAATAAAGGGAGGATATAGATAGGATAAAAATTTAGATTATCGAATCTACTTCTAAAAAGTATAGATATGATGATATAAAATGGTAGAGTACTGAATCTACTTTAAAAATCAACTATTAATGTTAAATATTTTACATTGTATTAGAATTTTGTATATTATATACAAATATTTCACATTTATACAAGTATGAAATTAACTGGTTGAAACATATTGTACACACTTTTCTAATCTTGTTGAAGGTACTGAACCTATGTATCCCACACACCTTTAATCCCAGCATCCAGAAGCTAGGAGGTGCTTTTACACATATTTAATCCTAGGACTCGGGATTATAAGTCAGATGGATCTCTGTGAGTTCAGATATACATAAAATTGATCCAGTTTTAAAGAGAAACAGCTCACACAAAGATGGTCTAGCACATGAGATCCCATGCCTTTCATCCTAGGCCTAGAGGGGTATAAAAGATAGGATAAGGGTCATCTTTAGTCAGTATAAGGCATTCATTCTCCAGAACATTGAGGATATTAAAAAAAAAGGAAGTCTCTTTATTCTTCAACCACCCTGTGGAGAGGGAGAAGTCTGTGTTTTGGTGGAGCCAGGATGACCTTTCAGTCTGAGTAATAGTGAGATCAGGTGCTGGTTTGCTTTGATTTTCTGATCTTAAGCTTGAAGTTCAAATTCCAATATCAGTTTCTGAGTCATTTATTTATCATGTTACATAATATAGTGTCTCCTCATTATAGAAAATTTTATTAACAGTGAGAAACATTATAATTCAAGCTATTAATTTCATAATCAGCATTAACTTGATCTGACCATAATAGAAGGTCTATTACAAAGAATAAACTAGACAAATGGATTACACACCTCAATTTGCATGTGTGAGGTTTACATGAAATGTGTGGATCCTCTACAATGAATGTTTCCTATGATGAGATGTCCTCATATGGGTCTACAAAAAGCTCTACTCCTGAAACTATAAGTTAAAAAAATGCTAAATACTAATAATGAGTAAATGGCTTTACATCCTCAATATACGAGATAATATTTATTTCTCTTTGAGAAATACTAATAACTTTAATAGCAAAGACATTTATTGCAACAAAATTTGAAGCTACTCAGAACATGAATTTGAAAAATAATCAGCCAATCAGTGTAGGTGCTCTCAGAGATCTATAAATGCAGTTTTTCTGGCAAATTATCAGTCATTATTTAAAAAGTATGAAATTTATGTTCCTGCAGGCTGCAGCCAGAATATAATTAAGTATGTGATCTGTCTTTATCCAGTGTTTAAATCTAACTCAATAGTGAACAAAGCTTTCTATTTGCTCATATGCTATATACCTTTCATTTTCAGAAACAGGTTGGTGATATTTAAAAAAAACAAACAGCAATAACCACAAAGTACACTTTATTTGTCTCTGCCTCAGAGAAGTCACAGAAATGAAATGAATAATGAATTAAATTTTGTGTAACATCACAATACTTGAAGATAATAACCACTACCATACTTAATAACCACATAGAAATGTGCTAAAACAATTTATGATCAGTCATTTTTGAAGCACTTAATGATGAAGGAATTAGTTATGCTAGCTCACCAGAGGTTTTCTATTTCTACATGTTTCTGTAAACTCAACTCATGGAGATTATAAGACTACAGAAAAGATGAGGTGCCTTATGGCTTGCTTGACTTCTCTATTCCTCAAACTGTATATAAAAGGGTTTAATATTTGAGGGACCACAATGTACATCATAGAAAAGATTACATTCTTTAAAGAAGATTCAGAAACAGCAGAATTCATATATACTCCAAATGCTGTTCCATAGAATAAGCACACTACTGTGAGATGAGAGCCACAGGTAGAAAATGCTTTCTTCTGTCCCTGGACCGATGAGATCTTAAGAATGGAGGACACAATTTCAATATAAGAGAAAATAATCCCAGAAAGAGGAACACCGGCGAACACACTAGTAACTGTATATATAAGAAGGGTATTGATGAAAGTATCAGAGCAGGCAAGTTTAATGACTTGAACGAGTTCACAGAAGAAGTGGAGGATATTCTGGTCTGTGCAGAAAGTCAGATTTAGCAACATCAGACTATGCAGTAGTGCATTCATGGTACTGATCAACAGTGATAGAAAAACTAGTAACACACAGAGGAAAGGTTTCATGATAACTGTGTACCTCAGCGGATGACCTATGGCCACATAGCGGTCATAGGCCATGACAGCGAGGAGACAGCTTTCTAAGCCACCAAAAATCAAAACAAAACAAACCTGTGACAGGCAACCTGTGTAGCTGATGCTTTGATCCTGTGTTTGAATGTTCACTAGCAACTTTGGAATTATTGTTGTGCTTATACAGATGTCAGTAAAGGACAGACTGGCGATGAAGAAGTACATTGGAGTATGGAGGTGGGAGTCAAAGCTTACAGCCAGGATAATGAGAATGTTTCCAAAGATAGTAACAAAATACATAGACAGGAACAAGGTGAAAATAATTGACTCAAAGTCTGGAGCATAAGTCAGTCCAATGAGAAAGAATTCAGAAATACATGATTGGTTTGAATGTTCCATATTTATGCTAAATATTACACAAAAGAAGAGATGAGAATTAATTGAATTTTGATGAGTAATGGTACAGTACCATTTAATGTATGGTGAGTATGGTAATTATAGAAGCATTTTTATGTAGTATTCATAAATTCTTTGAGATGATATATTAAATGTATTTTCTAAAAATAATGTCACTAAATTTGACATATTTGAAGCTTGTGAACTAGTGATTTAATATTTTTAAGATGCCTCATTTATTATGTAAACTGCACTAGTAGTTCATTTCTTCATACACTTTTATTACATTCTTCTTGTCCATTATTCCTAAAACTTCTGGTCTCTCCAATGAATATTGAAACATCTGCAAATGAATAAGGCATGCCATTTTCTCGAGAAGTTATTCATACCTAGGAAAAATGTATTAGAACGATCATAGTAAACCTGTATCTCAAAAGTAATGCGCACCAATATTGGCATGCTTTAGAATTTTTGAACTACTCATTAAGTTACAGAAAAATAAGTTCCTGCTACCAATTCTACTGAATCATGAGTTGTTTTCATAAGCATATATTATACAGATAGAAAGAGATAAGAAGTCTACATTTCCTGCATTCTGTCTTCAATCTATGACCACTCTTCATTCCTGCCTCCAGATATGACCCAATATACAAAAAATAATAATAAAGGATGTTGCTATATCTCTGTGGCTATAATAAAACACCATGACCAAATCAACTTAGAGTAGAAATTTTTTAGAGTGGTAAAAGTCTATCAGAGTCAGCATAGAGGGATAGCATCATGATAAACATCAACCCTGGTGGTAGGCTGATAGATCACATATTCAAACACAGGCATGAGGAATAAACAACTAACTAGAAACAGGAAGAGACTATTTCTCCAAATAGGACCTGAAATCACTCCTCTCTCTCTCTTTCTCTCTCTCTCCCTCTCTCTCTCTATCTCTCTCTCTCTCTCTCTCTCTCTGTGTGTGTGTGTGTGTGTGTGTGCGTGTGTGTATTAATTGCAACAGTGATTATGTCAAGGAAAGAAGGAATATTTCTAACTTGATTATTGCATATCTTACATAAGAGCATATATATCTTATGATTCTACATCTGAGATTATCCTTTATGTTGAAAAGTAAGGATTTATTAATTAATTTGGTATTTAATTAGTCTGAATACATAATTACATATCTAAATACAAAAGTAATTTAAATATTGCACGGGATAATATTTAAACTTAGTTCATGAATTCTTAAACTAGGAAGTACATTCCATGAAAATGTACATAATGAATATGTTTGAAGTCAACAAGTTTTCATTGTTGATTATTCATAATAAAAACTGCAAGCTTTACTATATACCAATTCATAGAAAAATATTTAGGTAGTTCAATTTGATTGTTTTAGTTATATTTATTTCAAAAAATTATATATGTATGTTTGAAGTCCCACCATCATCTACTTGACTAACTTAACCTTTTTCCCTTTCCTAAGGAAAATTACAGTATTACCATTTTATAATTTATGTTGTGCAATCTTACTGTATATAATTGCATTTTCTAAAATTAATTCTGAATTCCTTTACATTTTAGATATGTTATACAAGCAAAACTTATTCCATGTACAAAAATTGGAATGCTCACTTGTTTTATTTTTTTAGTGGTGATAATGCCACCATTTACTAATTTTTAGTAATATATTCTCCCATAATACTGTGGTATAGTTTTATTTCACATTCCCTACATTTTGATGAATATATATATATATATATATATATATATATGTATATATATATACACATAACTTTCATAGCAACCATCACATCAAATACAATATGATTTTGGGATAATTAGAAGAAAATAAATGAGAAGGGGAATAGTGAGCTAATGAGTTAATGGTTGGAAATTTACTGCCTCTTTCAATAATACATGACACCAAGCAAAGTGTCAATGTTGTCCACTTGTTGAAATAAATAAACTATCATTTTGTCTGTTGCTAGAGTTCTTCCCTTTCCTAGTTTCAGTGCCATTATCTTTCTAATTTCTGTTGAATTATCTCATACTGTTTACAGCAGAAGAATTTGTAACATAATTTTAGGAGGAATTCTCAAGGAATAAGAATGGAAAATAATGAGAAACATTGATGCCAATCTAGTGTTTATGATATTTTGTGTTAAATGTTATG